GTACCATACGCAGTACGAGTTTGCTTTATTTTTTCGATAAATCGTCCGATAACTTTTTTATCGAGAATAATCGAAAAATTGATTTTGTTTTTTTAGCCTAATTTGAACATTTTTAGACCTGGAGTCTTCAAATTTGCGTTGTATATAAAGTTAATCGATACAAAGATTTTGTAATTTACAGATTTTGGATACCACGCCCCCTTCTCCCCCAATTTGTAAAAAACGCATTTCAAGTACTAGAGACTTGGGCTTTGGAATGTACACACATATTCACCATATGATTACGCTCTGAAAGTTTCATTAAGATCGTATGTCTACAAAAGAAATTATTCAACAAATAAATTCTCATAATATTGCCCACACTGCAGCGCAGCCCAAGCGCAGTCGCTGCTTACTGCGCAGTTAGCAGAGCGCAGGCTTATGCGTGCGTCTGGATGCATATGTGTGTATGTATGTGTGCATAAAAGAAGTGCAGAATGATTAGAATATCAGCTTGGAGGGTTCAGGGTATCTCCTAGTCGAGCAGCCTAGACTGGAGCCCTTTTTCCTTGTTATATATACATATATAGATATAGATAGATTTATAAATATATATATATAGCTGCACTCAATTGCAAGTTGGTGCAACACTGAATGGCTCGAACGTGTTGCATATGCATCTTCTTCAATGTAAAGTTATGAGGCAAAGTTTCTTTAGCATGCCACAAACAAAAACAAGTGAGAATTGCTCAGCTCTTCCCATTGGTTTCTCGGTGCTGTTACGTGTGAATGAATTTCACAGCGCATCCTTGTCTGTCTATGTGTGTGTGTATGAGTGTGTGTGTGTGTGTGTGGAGGAATGGTGAGTTCCAACAGTTCAACATAGCTCAACTACCTGCCACTCCCCCCATTGCAATTTGGGGCAAATAAATAGTCAGTGCCCCGTTCGCAGCATCTTTTATTCGCTTCGCTTGAAGCTCGCTGGCTAGAAAATTGTTTTAAAGTGTTCCGGCTGAGAATTAAAACGAAAACTCAATGCATATACTATACGCATATACGGAGTTCAGCTATGCCAGCTAAAACATGGATATTTTCGTGTTGTTCTAGCGCTATTATTTCATTTATCCTGGCATTCGCATTGCGAATCTTTATTGAAATACTCAATGTTCAACTTTGGCCAACTCTTCGGAGTACTTTGTAAATTCTATTTTAATATTTTAATCAGCAATTTATTTTAATTTCAACAATATTATATCTGTTCAATAATTTTCGATTATTTTCCTTGCAATCTAAGCATCAACAATGTGGTTACTGGATATATTTGAATATATGATTGATCGAACCACAATGTCGTATGATTTGCTCATTTTTTAGCACAGACGCATTCTTCCAGCATCATCCGCAGAGCTTTGATATCAGCCAGAAGATCTAAGCACAGTAGCCGGCGTGGAGGACAACCCCAACAAGGGCGACCACCAGGTCCACAAATGGGAGGACATACTGGGGGTTTGGTAGGCTTAGTAGTTACGGTTGGTTCGGTAGTTGG